GGCTGACTGCTCTTCTGTCCGGGTTCCTGGCTTTTTATCCCCTTTCTCCTGCTCTTCCAGCCTGCTACTCTGGGCGGGCCTGAGTTGCCTCTCCTCACCTAATCCCTTCGGCTGACTGCTCTTCTCTCTGGCTTCCTGGCTTTTAAATCCCCTTTCTCCTGCTCTTCCCGCTTGATACTTCGGGCATCCTTGAGTTGTCTCTCCTCACCTGTAACCCTGGGGCTGACTTATTTTTATAAGTTATGAGCTTATAAAAATTCTAATGCCAAATAGAAACTTCCAGGTATATTGCTTCTTCCCATATTTAGCAAAAGCAGATCAAATCATGTTATTTCCCAGATTTCTGTAATATCCAATATAGCTGCATAGAGCATAAAAATGGAGGTTTACTTTAAAAAACTAGGATATGCTTTTCCACTTCACCAAGAGAATGCTTTATATATCAACTAGGTCTCTGTATTTAAAACACAATTGAACTTACAGAACTTAATTTATACACACTTTTTAGGAATGCATTTATTTTATAGATTAAAATACGGACTTAAAATTGTTTGTCTTTTTACCTGTTGAATTGTGCTCATATGCTGCTTCTCTGTTTCTGTTCTCTTTTTCAGCTCTCCTCTTAAATTGTCTTTTTCTGAGCAAATATCTAAAATGAGCTCTTGGTGCTTCTTATTTTCTTTAATTAATCTAAAATACGAAAAAAGTAGTGTAAGTAAAACATAGTAAAAATGGAGGTAAAATGAGAGGTGGACCTATTAACTGTTTGCTGATTAGGGTGCAGATAGCTGTGATCAATAAATCAACATTCCTAAGTAATCTCTTTAAAATTACACGTTTTACTTTGCCAAACATTCTCTGGCCAATAAGGTTATTATCTTTTTCCTAGACATTTATCTGTGTATTTCAAATCAATGAATATAGATAGATAAAGAAAACCACATCCTTTTAAGTACATGCCTCTGGGAATCTCAACTATGCACTTCATCTCTTTAGATCAGCAGTTTTAAATCAGAATAGATTTTGCTTCCCAGGGAACCCTTTACCACTCCAGGTATTTGTCTGGATACAGTTTTGTGGTTGTTAACAACTGGAGGGCAGGGTAGGGGAGCCTGCTGCTGGTATTAGTGGGTGGAGGCCAATGGTGCTGCTAACCATCTTACAAGGCACACAGAGCCCACCCCAACAATGAATTATCTGACACAAAATGTCAGCAGTGCGAAAGTGGAGAAATCCTGCTTTAGATTTTAGAAATACTTTATGACATTCTGAAAGTTATAGAAGTATAGTCAATGTAAAATAATAGAATAAAAGCATAAACAGAAATTTCATTTTGAGACTCCTATAAAACTATGCATAAAATCTTTTAAATTACCTGCAAAGTACCCAGAATTATCAAACAACCCACCTAAGAACTATATCAGTCATTTATCAACAGTTACCATTCTAGGATGATTAATAACAATAGCTATTACCTAAAATTTACTGCACACTATTTGCAAAGTTTAGCTTTAAGTGCGTTATCTCATTTGATATTCTAGGCATTAGTTTTGGGGTAGCATTAAGAAGGACCCTGGAAGCCAAGAGATTACAGTTCATTGGCCAAGCCAATGAAGTCACAGCTGGTTTGGGGAAGAGTAACCATGTAAGCTAATCTGGAAAAGTAAAGACCAGAGCAAGGACATCATTAACAACCGACTTATAACCAGCAACATTTGGATTATGGTATTTTTTCTCCTGTCATTCTCCTTTGGTACCTCGATTTCCTTTCCCCCTTTGTCTATATATACACCTATACCCCACCCCCAAACACCACTACCTACTGCAAATTTTTAAAGTACGTTTAAAAAAGATAATCGGACCTTACTGAAGACTAGTGTCTCGGTTCTCTAGTGCTGCTGTAACAGAAATACCACAAGTGGATGGCTTTAACGAACACAAAATTCCTCTTCATCTGTGAATCTAGAATACAAGTTATCTGCTTCCAAAGGACAATGATGGGACAGGCACAGGGTATACATTGCCATTACACGTGGGAGAATCTGGACGGAAAAGGATAATGAGCTCTAAGCAAGTCAAAAACCCAGCAGAACAATTTACATTCATCGTCAAGGTTTGAAAAGAATCCTCTCTTTTCCAAGACCATTCAGGCAATAGCCTTGCCCTCCAGACACTGGGTGTGGGCCATGCTCTCTGAATCCTGGAAGGAAGCCTCTCAGCCCTGGGTCTCAGGTCCATCTTCCGAGCCCACTGGGACAGCAACTCTGCTTCCTCTGCCTTTGGCAGCCCCCTTCTCCTAATCCAGCTGAGTGGCAACCCCATCCCCTGGCCCTGGCAGTCCCCGTTCTCCTTCCCCTTAGGTATGGCATCCCCACCTCCTCAGCTTTGTTCAGAGAATCCCTCCCCATCTCCCTGGCACTCATGAATGGCAACCCCACACTCTGGAACCAAGTTGGAGAAGACCTGACTCTAGGAAGATCTGAAACCTAGGAAGCTGTAGCCACACTCTGAGACCCCAGAAGCCAAAGCCCCACTCTGAGACTTCAGAGCGTGTGGCCCTACCCTCTGAGACTGGGATAGCTCTGCTTGTCTCTTCAGCGTCTGCTTCCTGGTCCCTTGGCTCCTCAGGCCTCCTGGGAGAGGCCATGCTCAGGCAAGTATGACAGAGCTCTTTAGTTTGACTGTCAGTACCACAGGAACCCCACTCTGCCAGGAGGTACTGGCCTCTTGGTCTGTGGGTCAGTAAGCCTAGCTTCACCAAAAAGGCACCTCAACTGCCACCCAAAGGCACTCAGCTCTCTCGGTCCGTAGGTCAGCTCCCATGCCTTCTGGTACCGATCTCCTTGTTCTACTGCCACTCCTCTGCCACTACTTCCCATCATCTCCGGGGTTACAGCATTCCTCACTTCCTGCTGAGCCCTCACCAGAAATGTCTTTGATGTTTGTAATTCCACCAATAGTGTCTTCTGGGTAATACAGGCCTTTACTACGATCACCTTAAAATTCAAACTCTTCCAGCCTCACCCATTACCCAATTCCGAAACCGTGTCCACACTTTATGCATCTATTAGAGCAGCATCCCACTCTTCTGGTATCAAGTCTTAGATACAAAGTGCTGCTGTAACACAAATACCACAAGTGGATGGCTTTAACAAACAAAAACTTATTCTCTCACAGTTTATGAGGCTAGAAGTCCAAATTCAGCTCTAGAGGAAGGCTTTCTCTCTCTGTTGCCTCAGAGAGGTCCTTGTCTTCTTTTCACCATCTGTGGGCCTGGTATTCCCTGGAGGTCTCCATGTCTTGGGCATCAGTTTTCCCCAGGGTTTAGGAGGTTCTCAGCGCAGGGATCCCAGATCCAAAAGCTCTTCTTTCTTGGTGGAAGTGGGTCCCTCTTCTCTGCTTGCTTCTCCTTCCTTTTATCTCTTTTAAGATAAAACATGATCTAGTCCACACCCTAGGGAAACTCACTCCCCTTACATCAGATCAGAGCTGTGACCTTAGTAAGGGTGTTGCACCCCACCCTAATGCCCTTACAACTGCTTGGCTGATCATATCTGATTATATCATGGGGGATGATTACATCATTACATAACTGCCAAACCACTGAGAATCATGGCCCAGCCAAAATGACACATATTTTTGGAGGACACAATTCAATCCATGACAAATAACTAATACACATTATCTTCCTTTCTGAAAGGTTTCAAAAGAGCACCTAAACCTATATACATCACTTAGTCACAGAAATCTAGAATAAAAATACAGGATAGTACGTTAATATTTGGAAAAATATTAAACAAAATTAAACTTTTAGTAAAACAAAATAAACTCCGCAAATTTAAGAGAAGTCTAAAAATAACTCTTATTATTTACTGTATCTATCTTCAACCAATTCTTCTGTTCTCTAAATTTTAGTTTTCAAACCAAAGAATTTACAATAGGGATTTAAAGAAAAACCCTTTGAATTTTATGACTTGTCATTTGTTTTGAATTTCTCTTAATTTTAATATTATACTTCTATATTTTTTAAAACTGAAAAATTTAACGGCTTTATAACGATTTCTAGGTCTTAAATATTGACACTGCTTAAATTTTCCCTTTATATTTAAATATTAAATAACTAAACAAATTTTATATTTACTCAATTACTCAGGAAATAAATTATTTATTGATCAAATACTAGTCCATTGTGGAGTAAAAGTGGACAGATGACTTTCCTTTAAAGATTCAATCTCTAATCCCTTGGGGGAAAAATAAAATAACTGAAGAAAATAAAAAACTTACTTCTTTATGGTATGTTCCTGGTGCAAATATTTATCTTGTACACATTTTTCAAACATAACTAATGCATGCTCCCCCTTATTCATTCCATTCAGTACTCGGTGTTCATCTACAAACTCTGTAGATAAGAGCTCAGATTCAATTTCTTCCAATAAATCCTCTGATGCTGAAACATTCTTTATTTTTGAAATAAGTTTCTTAGTACAGTCCATATCATAGGAACTTTCTGAGTAAGTCTTTTGACTAGCTGCTTCTGTAAGTGCTGATGACCTTAATTCCTCCAAGATTTGTGTTACTGTCTGCTCTGTTTCATTTGTTTTTGAAACTTGCTTTGCAAAATCTCTACCAGGGAAATTAGTTATTTGTTCAGAATTTTCTGGGCATATGTCTGTTTTAGCACAAGAATCTTCCCCTCCACCATGATCTAGGATATAACTGTCTTGTGCTTCAGTTTGATCACTATGTTCATTAGGTTGACAGAAAGCTGTATCAGAGCTTGATGACAATGGTTTCGACTCATTTTCTAAGCTGCTACTTTCATCACCAGAAAACAAACCACAAGAGTCTTCCTTTAATTCAGATGTTTTCCCACCATTTTTATCAGAGGAAATGGAGGCTATGTGGTCTGTCTCTGACATGCTGACTGGTACCAATTCACTCTGCATTTCTTCAAATCTGCTCCTGATCTTCGGTTGCCATCTAAAAAGTCAAAACATCAAAACTGTTATTTTTTTAACCAAGACCCTATATATATTGCACACACACTATGATGTAGAGTAACTAACGTTACAAATTCCACCACTAGTTAATTCCTTTAAAAGCCTTTCCTTGGAGGAAAAGAAAAAAGAATAGGACAACCAACCCCAGTATGCTACAGCCAGCAGGGCTACTGCAAAGTCCCCTTCTCTCTCTCCCTTCCATTCAGTCCTACATCTTCATTCGTTAATTCAGCTGTAGCTGGGCATTCCTGATCAGCCCAGTTAAGATGCTAGGTAAAGAATAGTACCAGTAACTACAAGGTTAGCACCAAAGAATTGTTTAGAATTCCTTCAGCAACTTGAGGTTTACTACTTCTTATCTGTAAGAAAGTAATGGGGAAATAGGACAAAAATGAAAGCACTAGAAGGGAAATCACATATCAAAAATATAAACAATGCATTTCAAATATGATAAATGTCTACTAAGAAAGAAAACTAAACGATAATGAGACAATCTACCTATAGCCCGGGGATCTGGAGCTGAGCTGAGAAGACAGCAGGGTTTAAAAAATTTCTGAGAGTAATTTCTTTTTTAGACTGGCAGGGTGATCCAGTAAGTACCAGGGTGATTTCCAAACATTCTCATCAGCAATCAACAATGTCGGAGCAAATCAAATGGAGTCCACATGTACTGCACAGGTCATACAACATTAAAAATATTAATTCAGTAAGGTTAGAATATATTTTTATATTGTTCATGAGTGACTATTCTAGCCATTACATAAAAATTACCCAACTTCAAAATTTATCTTAGGACAAATAAATATAAAATATTTTAGCAATCTTGAAGAACAAGAATCTTCCACTTGTTTTATCTGGCATCAACAAAGCCTGTGGATGAGTTGTACCTACCCAAACCTTATGAGGTTGGATAAAAAATGGGCAGATGGGGGACATCAAGCTCAAATGGCATAACATACTACACAAAAACATCATTCCACATCCTACTTTGGCAAGTAGCAACTGGGATCTTAAAAGCTTACAAGCGGCCTCTAGATGCCAAAGATGGGGCTCTCCTCGTCCAGAGTAAAGAAGAATGAAGAAAACCAAAGACACATGGGAACAATTAGCCCAAGCGACTGGTGCACCATGCAATCATCAGCCTATACCACGATGAGACCAGAAGAAGTACATGGTGGCTACCACTGTCAGCCACTCGGAGGGGGATCTATGTAGCAGATCCTGGATAGAGTGGGAGAACAATGTGGAACAAAACTCAAAATCACAAAAAATAAAAATGAAAGGGACCAGGTTTGCTGGTCTGATAGAGCCTGGTGGAATCCGAGACTATGGCCCCAACTGCCCTTCCCGTCTGGAACTGAACCCACTCCTGTGGCTTCCAGCCAAACAAAAGACAGGCAAAGAGCTGAACCTTCACATTAAGTAGATACACTCCCAGGAGAGATCAATCATGGGAGAATAGAAGGGCTTTGTATGCTCAGGGAGACAGCTCCGGGGGCAGGAGTACATGAGAGGGAAGGGCACAGGGAAGAGGTAACTATGGGAAGTGGGAACAGAGTTGTTGAATTGTGGGAAATTACAGTCAATGTCATGAGACAAAGTATATGTGAGCTGCTGTATGGAAAGTGAATTTGGTCTGTAAACTTTCACCCAAATCACAATTAAAAAAAAAGGGACAGATGATAGTTTGATAGCTACCAAGAAAGAAATAGCTCTAGATGGGAGGCATATTTATGGAACACAAAATGCAAAGATTAAATTTCTGAATAACAGAAAACAACATGCCTATATATGCCAGTCTGGTGGAAATGGAAGTCATAGAATGGTTAAAAAAAGTGGGGGGAGGATAAGAGGAAACTAGACTGGTCTGGTAGAACTTTCAGAATTCTAAGCAGTATAACAGTTTAAGCATAGGTACTGAAACAAGGCGGGCTTGTGCTTACTCACTGATCTGCACTGAACACTTTCCCTTGTTACCCTCC